ATTACTGTCATCGAAAGTGTTTGGGTTTGGGGCGCCTGGGTGGCTCAGTCGGTTAAGTGCCCGACTTCGGCTCAGGTCATGATCTCACAGTTAATGAGTTCGAGCCCCGCATCGGGCGCTGTGGTGACAGCTCGGAGCCTGGAGCCTGCTTCGGAGTCTGTGTCTCCCTCTCTCTGCCCCTCCCCCGCTTACACTCTGACTGATGGTCTCTCTCAAAAATAAATAAACATTAAAGAAAGTGTTTGGGTTTCACAAACATGAATTCCATCATCTCTCCCACTTTTCTGAGCACTGCAAAATTGAACCTATTTTTCCATAATTAAAATACTTTTCTTAAAAAAAGAGTAGTTTTCGTATCTATAAACTGATTTAAAATGCATTTTTGCAAAGGTTGGATTTAGGAAAGTGGCAAACGTGAGCAATAAGAGAAACGTGTGTGTCTCTTACAGGCGAAGCTCTCGGCCTCAAGCAAGCTGTGAAAGTGCCGTTTGCATTATTTGAGTCTTTCCCGGAAGACTTCTATGTGGAGGGCCTGCCTGAGGGCGTACCCTTCCGGCGGCCGTCTACTTTTGGCATCCCAAGGCTGGAGAAGATACTCAGAAACAAGGCCAAAATCAAGTTCATCATTAAAAAGTAAGGACATTCAGGGGCGCCTGGGTGGCTCAGTCAGTTAAGTGTCCAACTCTTGATCTCGGCTCCGGTCAGGAGCTCAACGGTTTGTGAGATCAAGCCCCATGCCGGGACTTGAGCAGAATGTGGAGGCCGCTTAGGATTCTCTCTCTTCCTCTCTCTCTGTCCCACGTGCGAACATGGGCACACATTCTTTCTTTATTTCTCTTTCCCTCTCTCTAAAAGTTAAGAAAGAAGTTAAAAAGTTAAAAAAATTTTTTTAACCTTTATTTATTTTTGAGAGAGAAAGAGAGCATGAGCAGAGGTAGGGGCAGAGAGAGAGAGATACAGAATCCGAAGCAGGCTCCAGGATCTGAGCTGTCAGCACGGAGCCTGACGCGGGGCTGGAACCTACGAACTGTAAGATCATGACCTGAGCCGACGTTGGACGCTTAACCGACTGAGCCACCCAGGCGCCCCTAAAAATTTTTTTAACTTCAAAAAATAAAGTAAGGACATGCAGACGAAACTACTTGGTACTAGGGCACAGCCGGACTGGCACGTGGATTCAGCTTTGTGGCCAAATTAGCTGTAGGATCCAAAACTCTTTAAACTGTACCTCTGAGGACCTTTCACGTTCTCCATAATTGGTTAAAATAGGGAAGGAGGGCTGTAGGTTGCCAGAGGGCCTAAAACAACTTGATTTTGTTGAAATCTACCATCGTCGTATTTTACTGGTCGATGCTGCTGGAAGGTGAGTAGTAGTTGAGTCTTGTGGAGCCCTGTTCCTTCTCCAGCTTACAGAATGTTTTTCACTTCTGTTTGCCTTGGAGGTCTATGAATTAGGCCAACACCACTGAGATAGGGGGGAATAATTGGAATTTAAAAATACTTATTGGTGCTTAAGCATTATCTGAAATTAATTGCAGTGACTTTGAGGTTCCATTTATTAGTGCTTGCTTTGGAGTCCCACCGCAGTGTTGGCAAATACTCGAAGCCAACACCACCAAGTGCAATGGCTACCTTTTGGGGTCTGCAGAGGTCTGGCAGTAAGTAGTGAAGGCCTCGGCTTCTACTTAATAGAGAAAGACTCGTGCTTATGGTTCCGTGCTGCCCATGTGCAGCCTTGCTCCCTCTCTCCATTCTCAAGTCTAGCACTGGATCCTTCCAGGGTAGAGTGGAAACTGGGCGAAGAAGCCCCTAATTTAAGCTCGGGAGGGCAGGGCAGGTGTTACGATCGTAATTATAATTGGTCTTTTTGTATACGTTCCTTTCGTTGAGGCGCTGTTCTTTCTGTTTTTCCATTCCTAACAATTGGAATGTATATTTACAGAAAGTAAATGGTTTTTTTAATTTTGTTGAAAGTTTAACGTTTTCTTATCAGATTATTAGCAAGCATGGTTTTTTCCTCTCTTCTCGTGTTGCAGGCCTGAAATGTTTGAGACCGCAATTAAGGAGAGCACATCCTCCTCGAAGAGCCCTCCGAGTGAGTGTCCTTGCTACAGGAAATGTGCCGTTCGCAGCCCCTCTCCCAGCAGTGGTCTACTGCCATGAAATCCAGAGAGTTGTGGTTGAGGGGTAGCTGGGTGGCTCAGTCGGTTAAGCGTCTCGACTCTTGATCTCAGCTCAGGTCTTGATCTCAGGGTCATAAGTTAGTGCAAGCCCTGTGTTGGGCTCCGTGCTGGGCATGGAGCCCACTTTGAGAAAAATAAAGTGGGGTTGTGACTGGTTTATGATTTGGAGTCTGTTTAATGAATGAGAATCTCTATGTGTCGGATGCTATACCAATCCCAACAAGAAAGAAAAAGAAGGCGAGGGGGAGAAAGTCTTTAAAGAAGCTTAATACCACAGAATGACAAAATAGACCATAAAAAGGAACAAGCATTGAACAAAGTTAGGTTAAATACTATCTTGCGGAGTCTGGATTATAAGCACATGAGTAGAGAGGATTTGAATCTATTTTGTGTACACTCTGATATGATGTTTCTATGTTAAGGAAAAATAAATTCATCGCCCAATGTTAATACTACTGCATCTGGTGTTGAAGATCTTAACATCATTCAGGTGACGATTCCAGGTATGGTTTCTCTGCCTTTATCTCGTTAGTCGGGTTTTCCTTCTTTGGGTGTTAGAGTAGACAGGTTCCCGGTGCTCGCCCTGTGCAGGACTGCGTCCCCGCCTGCCCTTCAGAAAGCGCTCACCAAATACATCATCTCATTGGTTGCTTTCCAGACCACTCTAGGAGGTTACCGAATGCGGCATGAGCTAGTACCTCGCGTCTTGTTTAGGAAATCTGTACAAGAGAGCAGGTGAAGCTCTTCATAATGGGAATAAAGGCTTAGCATTTTCAGGTTGCTGTCATACTCAAATCATTTGGTTAAGTTGTTTTAATCTTGATTAGTGTAAAATACTTCAGTCTTCCAAAAACATAAAGCAAGTTGACTCAGCACGTAAAATTTGACTTGGAATTAAACTTGCATTATTGGGGCACCGGGGTGCCTCGGTTGAGCGTCCCGCTCTGATCTTGATCACAGCTCATGAGATCAAGCCTTGCATCAGGCTCTGTGCTCTCAGCACACAGGCTCCAGGCTCTGAGCTGTCAGCACAGAGCCTGTTTGGGATTCTCTCTCTGCCCCTCCCCTGCACACTCACTTTCTCTCTCTCTCTCTCTCTCTCTCTCTCTCTCT